GCAGAGAGCAGGCTAATGGGGGGGAGGCTGGGCCAAGCAGACAGAATGGGACCCAAGCTGGCTGCCCCGGCCAGGCCTTTCCTGCTGCCTGTCCCTGACAGGGCCACTGCCATGGGCGCGGGGGTTAGACTTTGTGGTTGCCCCTCCAGGGCGCACTCCACCTGCTGATGGCTTGGGGGCAGGGCGGGGGGGACAGACCCTAGCCTGGGACACTGGCAACTTCCCTGAGAGCAGTGGCCTGGCTCCCATGGGCTGCCCCCAGGGAGACCTTAGTGCAGTGTTTCTTAAACTTTTTAAGACCGAGGAACCCCAAAGAATTTTTTTATGAAGAACACCAAGGATTTTTTTGTTGAGCAAGAAAAAAATAAGGAAAAAAGGTTTGGGGGTGGGGGAGTTATTGAGCGGGCGGAGAAAAAAAAAGGGTCACCTGCCCCTTTAAGGGAGGCTGTTTTGAGCTCTCTTGTTCTCCGTGGCACACCTCCGACTGCCTCGCGGCGCACCGCACTGAGAAACGCTGCGCTTAATGAACAGCTGAGGCCGGAGCCTGGCAGCCGGCCTGCCCATTCCCGTGTCCGCCCTGTTCTCTCTGCCCCCGTCCGTGCCCTGTGGGCTGGGTGCTGCCAGCCAGGGCACTGGGGTCCTGTGGGCACAGCCTCCTCACCCTGCCCTCCCCCAGACCTGATCCTCCCGTCCACTCGGGGCACCCCCGCAGCCTCTCTGCCCCGTCCTGCTCCTCAGGCTGGGGCCAACCCTGCCTGGGCTCCCCACCGGCTCCACCTTCCCTCCCCCAGCTCCTCAGCCTGAGGCGTCGGCCCCCAGCTCTAGCTCCTGGTCCCCCCATCCCTTGAGGGCGCTGGACCCAGCTTGTGAGGTCACAATGGGACCGGGGCGGAGGGAGCTGGTGACATCACGGTGGCACCCATGGGGGGTTTGGTTTGTGCTACCTCCTCCCTCCCCCGACCTCCTGTGCTTAAGCCTGGTTTTGGGGGGGAATTTGTGTGGCAGGTGCATGGTCCCTTGTGTCCTGGTACAGCCCAGGCCGTGCGGGGAGACCAGCGGGCCCCTGGTGTCTTTCCTGCCCTGCCCATGGCACTGGGGGGCCCAAGCCAGCCAGCAGCGCATCTCTGTAACACTGGGGGAGGGAGGGACTCAGAGAGACAGGGCCGTGGGAGCTGGGGGGACCCCATTTGGAGTGACGCTGGGCCAAGAGGAGGGAACCCCACGGCCCAGCTTGGGGCCAGCGTCGCTCCAAATGGGGTCCCCCCAGCTACCACGCCCCTGTCTCTGCAGCACCACTCTGCATCTTGCACGTGGCAGGGGGCGAAGGGGCTTTGCCCCCGCTGGGGGAGCTGACGGGGCTGGTGCTGCACATGGACCACGGGACCGAACGGCCCTCCGTGGCCTGAAGAAACCGCCCCAGTTCCGGTCCCAAGAGGGCAGGGTCTCTCTGCTCACGCTGGCGGCGCTGCAGCAGCCTGGCACGGTGCCTCGTGTGGTAGATGCTTCCGGCGTCTCCTGTGTTCTTGCTCTACGAGCCCCCTCGGCCCAGAGAAGAGAAAAACAAGATGAAGAAACCTGTCAAAATTGCATCTCACCCTGGTCCTTCGTGATAAGCCGGGGGGGCGGCTAGGAGATGCAGCCTTTGACCCTGCTGCTGCCACCTTGCTCCCTGAGCGCCCGGCCTGGCCCCTCCTCACCCGCTGACCTCATGTCCGAGCCGGGGCCCTGTGTTTGCTGCACGCGGCCCAGAGAAGAGAAAAACAAGATGAAGAAACCTGTCAAAATTGCATCTCACCCTGGTCCTTCGTGATAAGCCGGGGGGGCGGCTAGGAGATGCAGCCTTTGACCCTGCTGCTGCCACCTTGCTCCCTGAGCGCCCGGCCTGGCCCCTCCTCACCCGCTGACCTCATGTCCGAGCCGGGGCCCTGTGTTTGCTGCACGTCCTGGGTGTTCCAAGGACCCATGAATCCTGGTTCCCAGTCCTCCTGCTCTAACCACTAGACCTCCCCCCCTTCCTGAGCCAGGAACAGCACCTATGAGTCCTGGCTCCCAGCCTCTCCTCCCCTAACCCACTTAGACTCCACTCCCCACCTGGAGCGAGGGAGAGAACCCAGGAGTCCTGGCTCCCAGCGTCCTGCTCTAACCACTAGACACCCCCCCCATCCCAGAGCCAGGGAGAGAATCCAAGTGGACCAGCACCTGGGGCCCCCTCCCCTGACCAGTCCTCTCTGCCTCTGCCTGCAGGTCAATTTCCCGGACGTGGAGAAGGCCGAATGGCTCAACAAGGTGAGAGCGGAGGGCAGAAGCAGATCTGCCAGTGGGACGTGGGGGGGTGCTCTGACCCTAGCTAATGCTCCCCCCTCCCCCCCGGTGCCCCCTGCAGATCCTGGCCCAGGCCTGGCCCTTCTTCGGGCAGTACATGGAAAAGCTGCTGGCGGAGAACCTCGCGCCTGCCATG